TTTTTAACATTTACATTTATCTACCGTTATCATTTCATTTTTAAACAAACTGTAACTAATGCATCTCTGAAATCACTGAGAGTTTCTACACTGGAAATTAGCTGGTTAACAGAGTGATAAAGATTTTTCACTTGAAAGTGGCTCAAGTGCTACAAACTGATATGAAGTAAAACATTATGCAGCAAAATTTTATTATGAGACAGGAGCTGTATTATTTATTGTTAAAGCAGCAGTGTTCGATTAGCTCAGACAGTGATTTTTTTAAATAATGATAATTCTATTCAATCTAAAGGATGTGGTTTTTAGGAGGTTGAAAAATACTAAATGGAAAAAGATTAAATTGAAAACATAAAAAATATGTTGGATGCGATTTTCAAGAATATAAAATGTTCTATAAAACATTATGAATGAGGATACACTATTGAAAACTCTGGATTTACTAGGAAACCGAGAAACTTTGTATCATAATTTTAAGTACACTTTATATCAGAACTTTGTATCATAATTTTAAGTACACTTTATATCATAATTTTTATGAGCTCATGTACAATTTGACTTCTACTCTCTGTTAAGAGAAAAGAAGCTTGCAACTACTCAAATGTATTTCATAAATATCTTCTAAAAGTCGTTTTGTTCTTTATTTTATCAACTCTTGTAACGATTCTATCTCACTATGGCTCAGTAGCATTCGATCAAAAATGGAATAAATGGTGACACGTGAGCGAGGAATTGAAATGAAAATTGGGAAAGGAATAGAAATGGAGAAACAGGAATTAAATGTAAATTAAATGTAAAATAAAGATCGTAGCGCTGTCGTAGAGAATCGTGTGAAATAATTATACCTTTCTGGCCTGTCCGCTTCCGGCTTGTCCATGTAGTAGCGAATGAAGGCCCTCTCGGCGTCCTCGCGCTCCTGAAAGGATATCACGCCGCCGCCGTTCAATGTCTCGACATTTGGCAGCCTGGCGATCAAAAGCTGCCGCCTCTCGTGTTCCGTGTATTCTCGAGGACTCTGCAATTGTTCAGCAACTTTCAATTCGTCTGATTTCATTCTTGATGGGCGTTCAATTACAATAATTGAACAGACGAGTCTTACAACAGTAGTCAGTAACATTTCTGAAAATGCTTTGTCTAAATTTAATTACATATACTACATATATATATAATTACATATACTACATATATATATATATATATATGTAGTATATTATATATTATATATATTACTATTATTATGTATATTGTAGTATATTATATTATCATTACTGTGTATTATATTATTATATTATATTCTGTATTATATTATTATTATATTATCATTATTGTGTATTATATTATTATTATTATATTCTGTATTATATTATTATTATATTATATTGTGTATTATACTATTATTATTATTATATTATATTATTATTATTATTATATTATTATATTATTATTATATTATATTATTATATTATAATTATTGTGTATTATATTATCATTATTATGTATATTGCAGTATAGTATATATTATATATACTATAATTATTAATATAATTACATATATATACATAATACATTTACAATCGATTACTTTGGTCTGTGTAACCTACTTAAAGCTACAATACATGTGAATAACGAGATAAAATTCACCTTAAATTACAGTAGTTGGAGAAAGATAAGCCTAGTTAATTCCCCCGACTTTTGTTTTCAAAAATTACAGCGAATGATCTAGCGGAAAGCTTCCTTTCAAAAGTTTTACACACATATATATATATATATATATATATATATATATATATATATATATATATATATATAAACTAGTTGGTTTGATGCCAACGTTTACATCGATACAGCTAAAACGGACTGGTCCGAAGTGGCGCATACTAGATCACAAGCTGTCTTAACGGTTTTACATCTTAGCGGCTTCTTTGCTGCTCGTTCTTCTTCTAACTTCCTCTCCTCGGTCATTTCAACCGGTCGATTCGCCCGTTCCAGAAATACATTCCCGTTCGTAAACATTATGGCGAACTTAAACGATTATTCCAAACGTTTCTGATAATTCACTCACAATCAGACAAAGCGTCTGCATGTATAATTCATTTTGTAACACCGAAATTGCGTTAAAAAAAAACCTAAATATCAATAAAAGTAATTTTGTTTTAAAAAAAAAGTGAACACGGTTTAAGAAAGATCTCACAATATCCTGTGTCAAAAATTAAAATGGCCAATGCAAGTGGCCAGTCAAATGTGTTAATCGTCATAAACGGGGGTATATATATATATATATCCCGTGATCACGCGAGCAGGTGGGAAAGAGATCTCCTACCTCGAAAAGAGGACAGCCCTGAATCCTCAGAGACTTAAGTGCTGGGAACCTGGCCAATCGTTCCACGTCGTCCCACGTGGACAACAAAGTGCCGTTCAAGTTTAGGAACCTAAGCTTTCTGAATGGGTCGTGAGATGACCTGATGGTCGTTCCACTGGACTCCGACTCTGACTCGGACCTGTCGTAGTTCACCTTCCCCTCGCTAAATATCCTGTTCCCTTTCTCGTCCACCGACGTGTTCTCCTCGGTATCCAGACTGTTCATATTCTCATTGTCCTCGCTCAGATTCTCCGGCTCATTCTTGGAACACGGCTCCTCGTTCGAGTTCCTATTGTCTACGAGGGCCAACGACCTTATCGGACACTCGGCCAGCACGAGGCTCTCCAGATTCGGGAATATATACCCCAGTTTGGAGATCTCGTTCCACACCTCAACGGGATTCCCGGTGAAGTGAAGCTTCTTCACCGAGACGTTCTTGCTCTCCGGCATCTGATAATCGAGATCCACCGTCTTGTACTCGTTCAAGGACAGATGCAGCTCCTCCAGGTTACGAAGCAGACGGATCAATCCCTGAACGGTCGACCAGGTCACCCTGGTCCCGTTCAACACCAGATTCTTCAACAGATCGTAGCTGCCGTGCTTGATGTCGAACACCTCGGCCAAACAGTTGAAACTCAGGTTGACGAACTTGATCTTCGGCATGTGCTGCAGGATGCCGAACACCTCGGTCCATTGTGATAGTTTGTTCTGCGCTAGGTCCAGCTCCTCCACGTTTTTGCATTTACTTCGGAGCTTCTCCGCGTCGTTGCCGGCCGACTCGATGTCACAGTCCTGCAGTACGAGCAACGCCGGCACCGTGTGACGGGGTGACTTCTTCGGTATGAAAATGCTGACCGAGAGGGCGGCCTTCGGCGAGCTCGACTCCGTCTCCTCGTCGGTGAGGGAACAGTCGGTCGTTGAACTGCCGTACTTCAGCTCCAGCGCTTCCAGCAACGACGGCATGTTTACTGCATTCTGAAACCGATTATCGTACCTTTTAGACTTTTGTCACAGTGTTTAGACCTCGTTGCATGCATTTGACATTAATAACGTTTTTAATTCCACCAAATTGTGGATCAATTGTGCTTCGTGGCAAGGTTTTGAAAATGGTTGAATGTTAGTTATTGAATGTAGTATTTATGTTATAAATAAATGCTACAAATACTATAATACTTATGATAATTCACAAATACTACAAACAAATATTTATACTATGTTATAATATTTTATAAACGATATAAATAAATATTTTACAGGTATCTTTTGAAATATCTATGGTCGTCAGAAAAGTACCTATGTCATAAATAATTACTATAAACATTATAATAATTTATAAATACTTATATATTTATTATATATTTTAGTATATGTATATATATACTGAATATTTATAGTATTTATATGGGTATATTATAATACTTTATAAATGCTATAAATAAGTATTTTATAAGTATTTTATAAGTATCTTTTAAAATATCTATGATTGTCAGAAAAATTGAATATTAAGTATCTATGTTATAAACACTATAAATACTATATTATAATACTTTATAAATACTATAAATAAATATTTTACAAGTATCTTTTGAAATATCTATGATTGTCAGAAAAATTGAATATTAAGTATCCATGTTATAAACACTATAAATACTATATTATAATACTTTATAAATACTATAAATAAATATTTTACAAGTATCTTTTGAAATATCTATGATTGTCAGAAAAATTGAATATTAAGTATCCATGTTATAAACACTATAAATACTATATTATAATACTTTATAAATACTATAAATAAATATTTGTATATTTATTATATATTTTAGTATATATATACATATTAAATATTTATATATTTATACTATATTGCTTTAATGCTTTATAAATACCATAAATAAATATTTTATAAGTATCTTTTGAAATGATCGCCAGGGTAGCTGCAAATTAATCGTAAGTCATCTGAACATGAAGCGTTCAGTGTCAACACAAAAAGTTCAAGGGCCCAAATATTCAAAAATTCACATTGTATACTCTATCTTCTTAAGCGTCAGATGAACCTTCGAACAAGTCGAGATGCTAACTCTCATGGGAAATCCCGCTTTCATACACTTTGGTAAATAAACAATTTTCATTCTTTGGAGAATTTCATTAGCATCAAGTAAAGTTTCAAAATTTCTCTTCAATTTCCCAACTTTCTGGAACTTACTCTCTCACTTCCCCTCCGTTATCGTATTTTTTCCCTTATTCATCATCCTCGAGAAATTCTCAAGCGCGACCATTGTTCCAGGCACACGCTCGTCGTTGCTCTCATCTCCCTCTGTCCTACCGTAAACGCCATCGTGACCCGATCGTCAACATACATCCGAGGAGAGAGAATCAAATTGGTCGACAAAGAAGGGGACAAAGAGTTGTCACTGCGCGCGGCGACGCACAAGGTGGCTTTTGTTATCCGGGAAAGGACGAAGAGAAAAAAAAAAAAAAAAAAAGAGGAGGCAAGGGAAAAAAAGCAGATCCCTCGGAGGTCGACGTCGAACACGCGGAATATCTGGTCTGACCATATCCGTTAAGGTCGCGATATTGTCTTTTTGTGCAAACGGGAAACCGGTACTGGTCCCCTTGGTCGTCGCTGGAAAACGATTCTATGAGCGAACGGGCTTCGCCCACGCTATCCGCGACGCAGTTCAGATTCGACTCATTCCCCACCTCCCTTTGGACAAAGGTTCGTTTCGCGAACTTGGTTCCCCGCCGATCGAGAGCCACTCGGAACAATTTGACGACCGATGCAACGAGCAACTTGTAAGAACAAGGTACGCGCTCCGATCGTTCTATTTTATATAACGGGGATATAAAATAGTCTGAGCGACTTACGCAAGTTGTTCTTTAACTACTCGCTTGTTTAACATTTGTTCTTTAACGCTCGCTTGTTACAAATTCTTTTTAATATAAAATTAATATATATATATATATATATATATATATATATATATATATATATAAAATCAATTCTCAAAAAACTTTTATCTTGGGTTTAGTTAGTTGAGAAAAGCAGTAATTGACGCTATTAATTTTGTCAATTATTCATTAGAATTATTAGGTACTGTATATACTAGTTGCGTTTAACATTTGGACACTCGCTTGTGGCAAATATATAAAATCAATTCTTTTTAATATAAAATTAATATATATATATATATATATATATATATATATATATATATATATATATATATATAAATCAGCATAGTTAAGATAAATATAAGTATAGGATAAAGTAAAATAGGATACAAAAATATTATGTAAATATTATAACATGTAAAAACTAGGGTAAATGCAATGCGAAATGTGCAATGTAAAAACCAAAGTCAATTTCAAAGCCAAAGAGGCTGAAATAAAAATATATACATACATATATATATAAATCAATTCTCAAACTTTTATCTTGGGCTTAGTTAGTTGAGAAAAGCAGTAATTGACGCTATTAATTGTTCATTAGATATAAGTACTGTGTATTTAACATTTGGCCACTCGCTTGTTGCAAATATATAAAATCAACTCTTTTTGATATAAAATCAATGTATATATATATAAAGAATCAATTTCTCAAACTTTTATCTTGGGCTTAGTTAAAAGCAGTAATTGACGCTATTAATTTTGCCAATTATTCATTAGATATAGATACTGTATATATTATAGTTACGTTTAACATTTGGACACTCGCTTGTTGCAAATGTATAAAATCAATTCTAACTAATATTTATACTCAAGCAGTAGTTGACACTATTGATTTTGCCAATTGTTCATTAGCTATAGGTACTGTATATACTAGTTACGTTTAACATTTGGACACTTGCTTGTTGCAAATGTATAAAATCAATTCTAACTAACATTTATACTTAAGCAGTAGACGCTATTAATTTTGCCAATTGTTCATTAGATATAGATAAACATATAGAGTTTGAGTGATGCGAGTAAATTTGATCGACTGGTCCCAGTCACGACAAAGAACAGTAGAATTGTACTGTATATACTATAGTTACGTAGAATCGATTCTATAGCCTATACTGCACGTTTGAGAGCAAGTTGTTCTTCAACTACCACTTGTTTAACATTTGGACACTCGCTTGTTGCAATTGTGTAAAATCAATTCTAACTTTTATCTTGTGCTTAGTTGATAAAAGCAGTAGTTGACGCTATTAATTTTGCCAACTGTTCGTTAGATATAGATAAATTTGATCGACTGGTCACAACAAAGAACAGTAGGATTGTACTGTATATACTATAGTTACGTAGAATCGATTCTATAGCCTATGCTGCAGGTTTGAGAGCAAGTTGTTCTTCAACTGCCACTCGTTTAACATTTAGACACTCGCTTGTTGCAATTGTGTAAAATCAGTTCTAACTTTTATCTTGTGCTTAGTTAGTTGATAAAAGCAGTAGTTGATGCTATTAATTTTGCCAACTGTTCGTTAGATATAAATAAATTTGATCGACTGCTCCCAGTCACGACAAAGAGCAACATTTATTTTTGTATATACTACGGTTACGTAGAATCTGTAGAATCTATCAGTCTACGCTGCAGGTTTGACGAAATCGTTTTACAACCGACCGTCGATCGGAGCGCGTGCAGACTTTCACCGAACACTGAATTACATGGGTCGTTACGAGTGTACAGTGAATCGCGACTATTCAAATTAACTAACACTTTCGTAAGAGCAATCCACGACACGGATCGTATTTGTACTCTCAATTACCGTCGAATTAACTCTCTGTCGAATCTGCGCGACAGGGAGGATGATACGCGGAATGGAATGGAAAACGACGGTAGAAGGAGAAGCATAGGAACCGTGAAATGGAATGCGGCAGTTTCTACTCGAAAAGGCGGAGAGAAGGAAAGACTAAAAGCGTACAAGTGCAACGAACTGCGACGAGGACGATTACGGAATATCTCGCGCGGAGAGACGACGGGGCGAGCAGGAGGAAAACGTTGCGTCAATTTGGCGGAGATCCGACGTGCCAGCGGCCGAAAGGAAAACTCTGTGTGTGTGTTTGTGTGTGTTGGAGACCGGCCAACTCGCGAGTCGTTTTCATTTAACGCGAAACGTTTCAGCCGTGGTTCGCTACTGCCCTGAGAGAGATGGATACCAACAATCCTACTCGTATCTGTTGCCGTACTCGCGCTTTCTAACGGCAAATTTACCTCGTTACCATCGCGAGGCAACGTTCTGAAGCTGAAAACTAGCGTCCCGTCTGTCCGACGTTGTTCACGAAGGGGAGAGGACGCACGCAACAGTTTCATCCCCGTGGAAAATCGGTGGCGGACAAAGGTCCGCGGCGATACGCTCGACGCACGGCAGTGGACCGGCATAATAGTCGTTGTTGCATTATACTCCCCGTAGGCTTCCCCTACGTAATCGCGATATCGGTTCAACGGCCATGCGAAATTAACTTTCTCCGGCCAGCGAGAAGCTCGCTAGAATCAACGCGGTGTGCACTACAATACGTGGCTAAAGCTAAGGCTTACCCAGCGATGTGCTCGAGTCGCTTTCGAACAGATTACACCGCTTTTAATCATTTGCACTCGATTCTACCTTCTGAGGGGACATCGTAATTAAATCTAGCTAACACCTCGGACCTCCTCATTTTTACGCATACATTTGGTGTTGTACGATGCGACGTATAATAGTGTGATATCTGAACAGACGCCTAGAGTGAAATATACGACGTATGAACAACAAAAGGTATTTCCAGGGGAAGAAGTTTCCCGAAGACAGCCCCGAAGTCAATTGACACTTCATTGGAATAATTCACATAAACTAGGTTTCTTATTGCTGCTTGCTGTTTTTAAAAAACTGACGATATTATTTTTCCAAGGACTGAAACTATGTATCATCGACTCCTGTTATATTATTGTTCTTAGTAAATCCGCATTGCTTTGACCACTTGCGCTGGCAACTGATTGCGGACCATAACGA